TAAACGCACGCGTCGGATCTGTCGTTAACACTCTTGATATATATAGTTTATATTAGGAGTACCTTGGCAAGTTGCACATTTCGCAAACTGCTAAATCCGCGGCATTAAGAAAAGTGCAGTGAGAACAGGTCCAGAGAGTTTGAGGTCGATCATCAGGCGGATTTGCTGCCATAGATTCTGTACCGACACTTGTTCCTCCTCCGCTACCCCCCACAGCCGCAGAAGACGACGTTCTCGAATTATTGCCGAAAGATACTTGCGGTGAACGTGAAGTGGAGGATGCGGATATGAGTTGCTCCACTGTTGCCCAATGTTCTGACTGCGCCCATTCTAGTACCTTCTGCTTATCCTTATTACGGATAGCCTCGAGCAAAGGCAGCATATAATCCTATGAGATAAAGAAATATCATGGTAATATATAAATACTGTAATGCAATATAGTATTAGATAAAATAATTGACAATAATGCAGAACAAAGCCAATTTCACAAATTCTAATAATATACTAATATCCTTGAAATATAGAGAGTAAAGGTGTTTGAATGTCTTTAACATAAAATTAATAGTCGTTAATTGTTTATTAAAAAATTGTTAACAAAAATTATTAAAAATCTATTGAAAGTTATTAAGGGTTATGCTCATCAATATATGTCAAGGTAAAGATATATTATCCTAGGAAATGAAAAGATTCTAAAGTGGTAGCTACAATTTTTGCTTCTATTGACTTGAGATATTAGATACATCATAGCCATAATATTGAAGAAAATATCAATTCGTTTATCATAATCATAATATATATAGATACATGTATAATATTAGAGACATAATAAAATAAATAAAAATAAAATCGAACAAGCTAATAAAAGTTAACACAAAAAATACTTTAGAGAAAAATGTTAGGAATATTTTATTCATTTCATATTTTCACATAAATACACACATTTGTTGTTTTCATTTGTAAAACTCAATTTTGAAATGAGTTTATCTTATGCTACAATTGGAAAATTCAAGATCAGCCTAAACACCTAAGATATATATGTCACATAAGATTCATACGCTAAATAGAAATTAAAAAAAAGAAAAAAAAAAAATATATATATATATATAAAATAATGTAGTAGTTATAAATTCGATAACATATTTTGTACAGGAAACTTTATTAATTTTCATTGTTTTAATTTTGATAAACTCATCACATTCTTTAGTAAGATGGAACATTTCAATTCCACGAGCGAAAATGCGTCAACTGTATGTGTATTAATAAAATATTATTCAATTTTCAAACAAAAATATATAGAAAATTAAGGATTTTTTAAATTTTAGATTTACGATTACATCTTTGAGTACTGACAGTAATTATTGTACTGACATTAATGTATTTTTTCAAGCTTCTTTTGTTAATAACTGTTTAATAAATAGTGGTTAAAACCTCTTGAAAGTAATTCCAGATTATGACCTTGATAGCATATTTTACAATCGTTAAAGTTCCGCAGTGAAGTTGGCCTTATTATGAAAAATTACCATAATAATTAGTAATAAAAATAATAAATAGCTAATGCAATTAATGATTAGTAATAACAATAATAATTCAGTAATATTAAGGTAAGTAATAATACCTTCATGGGGTACATGTCCATGGTGGCGATAAAGAGGAGCAAATGAAAGTCAGAAATTGCCTCTAAAAATTGATCTGTGTTAAACTGTTGCATGTAAGTGCACAATGCATTAAACTCTTGAACCTGACCATCAATATGCCTGAAATAAAAATATTAATATAATTATAACTCTTAAACACACACTATTTTTTTAAATGTAATTAACTGATTATACTGTTTGACATCAATCAATATATTTATTTCTTAAGATTATCATACCTGTTTTCAACTGGAAACGGAGTGATTTTGTCATCTGTGAAAAAAGTGAATTGAGGTGTGAGTGGTGTGGATGCGGGTACATCCACTAATAAATATTCTACTGGTAAAGGTCTTGCTAATCTCGGTACTTCGTTTCCATATGTGTCCTTCTCCTAAAAAAGAAGAAATAAATGTGGGTGTGTGTGTGTGTGTATATATATATATATATATACAGTGAGTGTAAAAAATATTCGTACACCAAAGATTGTCTTGATGAAGGCTTGGGTACGAATACTTTTTACACTCACTGTATATATGTGTACGTATATTTTTTTCTTCCCTTCCTTTTATTACTTTATTATTTTAACTGTCAATTTTATATAATCGCTCCATATGTCAACATCTATTTAATTATTCTCTTTATTTATGATTAGAGATGCGTCGTGACGTGATGTACGCGTCCAATGTTATGTCTTGTACACGCAATAAACACCGTCAGTTGCTGTGCGCAACGGTAGGGGCGACGATGACGGCAATAACGACAAAGAGGGAGAACACTTGGCGGGGGTCCATTAGACGAGATATATCTATAGTGGAGTGAGGGATGAAGACAGACGGAAGGAGCGAGACGAAAAGGGACCGGAATGTGGAGGAAAGAGGAAAGGAACGACGAAGCATGTAAGCGACTAGCGCGCGCTGCGGTATGTCGGTTGGTTGTCGCCGCCATGCTAGTGGTTAGTTTAGTGAACCAAACATCATGATGTGGCAAAATGTTCGCATGAGCTGAGGGTCCGTAGTAGCCACGCCGCGTTTAAGCCGGCGCGCCGCGTCGGTAATGTTATCACAACAGTATAACTCACTACGTTCGATAAATACGTAACGCAAAAAGTACAAATTTTATATATATATATATATATATATGTATATATGTATATATACATACACACATGCATGCGTAGAAGATGAGCGAGAATATATATACTTATTTACACGAGTAGAGAAAAAGTAAAATAAAAATGACCACACACACGACTAGATGGTGAAAAATTCGCGACGACGACAATGATAACGACGACGGCGGTGGTGACGCGACGACAAAAACTATATTGGTAGTGTTCGTAGTGGTAATGGTTGCTCGGTGGAATACGAGTGGAATCGTATGCGGCACGACGTCAAGCTCGATGTAAATCAAAGCTGCCGCCGCCGCCGTCGCCGTCAAATTACACGTCGACTGAACGAATGTCGTGTAGTGAACATCGCCGTGGCATGTGTCGTGAGTGACAAGTGCCAACGATCAGCCTCCATAGCGCGGCAAAGGCGATCGTGAAACATATACGGTACGGAAGCATTTACAGATCTATTGTCGAGGGGGGGAGGTGTATGTGTGCGAGAGAGAAAAAGAGCATTGGAACGTTTGCCAAAACATGTGTGTGTGCATGCGTGTGTCGCTATGAGAACGTTGTATAAATGTGGGCAAAAAGGAGACAAAGATCGACGTGTGAGAACGAGAGAGAGAAAGAATGAGAGAGAGAGAGAACCGTGGGTGCAAGCGAGAAGGAACGGTCGTAGTGCGCGCGCGTCTAGAGACAGGGGAGAGCGAGACGTTCCCGCGGAATCCACTTCGTCCAACACGCAGTAGTCCACGAGCGGTTTTCGACCTGAATGTTGGCGCGCGTCACGAATCGCGACGGACGTGGCGTAGCTATCGCGCGTAGCAGGTAAGCCGGCCCGATAACGCACCGAAATTCATCTATCACGCGTACGTAGAGCTGCTCATTATCACGTTGCGCCTTGCATGTATGTATCGCGTGTGTTGCGTGTACGTGCGCGGCTCGACGACATCGTGAAGAAGTATCGCGACACTCGATAATTCTTACCTTCTCCTGCCCCCTTCATCTTCTCATCCTCAGAACATGGCTATCCCCACTCCGCCTTTTTTGCTCGGCGCGCGCGAAAGAGGCATCGTGTGTTAACGAATGGCGAATACTTTCGAGGCGTCAGTGCTCCGATCGCACCGTGACGGTTTTGGCGGGATTTTCGGCGCATGCGCGTGAGCGAACGTAAGCCACGAGTATCATTCTTTATTCTGGATCTCTCATGAGCACGATAGCGACGCGGATGTTCTCGACGCAGTTTGTTGCATAATGACTTATTTATCGTGACGATATCACGATGGATGAATATATCGAATCGACCCAACTTTATGTAACCTAACCTAACCGGAACCTCGCTCGTGCGTGCACGCACGCAGGCACGACGCACGAGGTCGGATCGGCCTCTGAAATATGGCGAACGCGCCAACGAGACTCTAGATTTGCGTCCGATAATTTCGAGAATATCGTGGCGCTAATACGTTTGTGTGCAGATACACGTTCGTAAAAAACAGTGCACCGACGCTCTAATCACACTACCTGCACACAGAAAATACGCATTAATTACGCGCAAGAACAGGAAGTGACTCGACTATTCTGACGTGGATTACAGGTCTGTTTTTTCAGCTATGCTATGTTGTGCGCTTTTTAGTATTTAAAGTAAAATGAGTGTATATCTAAGATTTGGTCAAGAGAGAAGTAAAGAAATTTTAAGAGAATATATATATACATAAAGAAAGAGTGATGTGTGTGTGTATGTGTGTGTCTGTATGTATATATGTATGTATATATGCGCGCAGTTAGAAGGAATGAACCTTGTGTCACGCGTGACGTCAAAGGGTTAAGAAGCGCGAGCGCGTCGGTTCCGTGGACGAGTTCAAGTACGTGACGCTTTCCCGCCTTTTCACGGCGGTCAGTCAGCCAACTGCGGTTGCTCTCATTCGGCAAGAATCGCACAGCCGTACGGCGAGTGTTTACCGTCGTCACGTGTATGTATTGTGCGTATCGATTCTCTCGTTTCCCGAATCGCACAGCCTCCACTGCAAAAGTGAGCGAGTCAATTGATCAGTGACGTGCCGGACGGACACGGTAAAGAATACCGACTACGACAGATCACGACGTGCAATACGCTCTTGTTCGCGTGAGACGTATGAACACGGGGAAACGTCGATGATTCGATGACGCACGGAGTGAGATATGGGTCAAGGAATCACACGGTCCGACGCGGACTTGAAATCGGGAAAGTCCACAGCGACGGAATGACAGACGAGTTTACGACGACGGGTCGGCGGCGCCTAGATTATAGTAATCGCACTAAATACTAAAGGAGGATTTATAGAAGAGTGGTAGTTTGTATGTGTGTTGTGTATGGATGTGTGTGTGTGTGTGTGTGTGTGTGTGTGTGTGTGCGCGCGCGTGTGCGTGTGGCGCGCGCGCAAGAGAAAGAGCTAGGCCCGACAGCGGTATGTCCCGAACGTTTTGTTTACATAACGCGAATAATGATTCGACCTTTGAGAGCTCTTTAACGACATGTGAGATCTCATGTCTGAATTAGTCGTTCAGTTTTCGCGCGATAATGGTGCTTATAAAGGGTCGTTCCGCTTGTTATCAAAAACGTGACAATGCTATGAGAAATTCTCTTTGTTCTGCTGCACGTACGCGAAGTATAAGTCTTGCACACTCTAACCATTCATATTATATTTCGTTCACGCGTCACTCAAAGGGAGTAAACAGACGTCACATGTAACTCACGGAGCACAGGTTGCGTGAGTTTTTAGAGGTTAAGCTGTATTGGAGCGTTACACTAAAACGTTGTCGTCCGTTCGCGTTGGAATGTAAAGTTGACGCTACCTGCGTTCACGATTCATGAGGCGATATCGATATCAGGCGATTACCCGTGTAAATCAACGGAATGATGAATGAAACTGACATAAGAGAGAGACGACTCCGACAAGTGATAAAACGATCGAATGAATATCTCGCGCGCCACAACTCATGTCGTAAAACAAAAGCCACATTTCTCACGAAAAGATATGTCCACATCTTTCGATACTATCTTTCGATTGGTTTCAAAAACCGTGTGATTATTTATTTTTTTAAGTATTCCTGTTTTCTCGTCAAGAAAACATCGTAGCTTGTTCATGCGAAATTGTTGCATACTTGTATACTTAGCGTGGTGCTATCGCGTTTCTTAATTTTTAGCACTAGGACTTCGGCCCAACGAAATCCATCCGGGATCGCGATCATAGCGTGCGAATTGGAATATATATTACGTTATGACGATGCGTCTACATTTAATATCCCGATCTCTAATAATTTTACTGCTGAAATTAAGTCTTTATTTTTCACTAGAAATATTTTTCGATATTTTTTTGTATTTCTCGTCTTTACGGTTTTGTCCGTGTGGTATGTTCCGCGTACGCATACGTACATATGTGCGACGAAATCGTGAAGGGAAAGAGAGAGATAGATAGAGACACAGAGAGAAAGAGAGACGAAAGTATGCACGTTTATCATGCTTCCAGATGCTGGATCCGAGCGTGCTAACGGACCTGGAGGAGCTGACGCTTTGCAGTTACTGCAAGCAGAAGTACAATGACGCGGAGCAGTGCCCCAAGTATCTCAGCTGTAAGCATTACTTCTGCCTGCGCTGCATTGAAAGCAAACTGTTCACGGAGAAAGCAACGAGACGTGAGGTGTTGTGCGCACATTGTTGGAAAACGATGGACTTGGGCGACAAGGAGCCGGACGCTCTGCCGACTCACTCTCCTCTGCTTGCCCTCGCCAACAACCTGTCTCACCTCAAGCTCACGACGAACAACACGTCCTGCAAGCCCGGTGATAAGGAGAGAAAGGTAGCGATTTGTCACTCGATCTTATTCGAATCACAAGATTCCCGGTATATCTAGAAGTCTTGTTCGATCTTAAATCGATAACATAAATCGAAAACGCAGACATTCGGTTTAAGCATGATCGTCGGAGTAAAATAACCGTTACAAATGCGCGACAAACTGATCACTCTATTTAAAAAATCCAGCAAAGATCGATAAAAGATATATACAAATTTCATTAAAATACTATATGATTATTTAAACTTATCATTTTTACTAGAACTTGGCATTTTCACAATTCCTCACATTTCAGCTCATAAAAGAGTTTATTAATTTCTTTCGTTATATTGTAATTTTTAATAACTAAATATATTATATTGAACATTTATTCGAATATATCTTTTTATTTAATTTTATCATTTTTTACTAAAAATATAATTTAGTTACATAGATGTGTCTGACCTAACTCTATTAAATCTTTTAAGTAGAGCAAGTATGCAATTGCGAGTTTTGACTAATCTACAAATTAGATTTACTTAAATTTAACATGTGTCTTCATTGCCAAGTTACTATGTAGCTATAAGAAGTTGACATCAAGTCGATAAAAATATTTATGACACGATTTAAAAACTGATAATTCCATGTTTGTTCTCGACTCTGTTTTTACTTAGCTCCCTGATAAACTTATATCATTTCCATTTTGAATTAATTTCCTATTAATTGATGTTAATCGCGAGCGAAATGATCTGAGGACTTAACGCGACCATTGTGACAATACATCACGTACGATGAACGCAATGGATCCCTGTTGGCGCCGAGAGAGATTGGAGAGTACATCCGTTGAACAGCAAAACAGAGGGAGGTGTGCGTTATAAACGCGAAGCCATAATAAAGTAGAACTATTTCAACAGTAATAGGATGATGTTGTAAGAGCGCTGCTGCTCTATCTTTTTTTTACCAAGTGCGGGTGACTATCTTCGAGTTATAATTTCGCGCGATTATCATGCGCTTCGCGTCTCCCGCATTATTTTATTGAAAATTGCCACTTACCCCGGGATATATCAAATATTCGTGCAATAGACGTACGGAAGACACTCATTGTCCCTTGAAGTTTCATTTCAAGAGAATACAAATCTGTCACGTTTACATTGATACGTAGCAGCCGTTGATAGATGAACGCTTAAAACTTTTTGCAGAGCGAGAACTGTCACACGCACGGGATGCCGTTGGCATTGTGGTGCGCAACATGTTGCACGGCGCTTTGTAGGGCGTGTGCGACTCCGCAGGAACACCCGGGTCACCAGATCAAGTCGCAAACCGATGCCAAAGAACAGCTCATATCCGACGTAAGTGTCATTTCGCTCTCTATCAGTTTTCTTCGAGAAGCTGCACAAAAGCAACCACAACCGCGGAAGAATACCGATGATCCGGTGCACGAGAGACCAACTAAATTGAGATGAAAATGCATGACTTCATTTATTTGTACAGGTACAACTGGAGTTAGTTGCCGTAGGTAAACTGTCGACGGAGATTCAAAGACTGGCTATGCAGCAACGCGAGTTTCTTATCAAGGTGCTGGAAGCGTGCGTGACGCTGAAGACTCATGTGGAGACGGACCTACAGAATGGCTGGAGCCATTTTCCCGAAATAACGGATGCGCGCGAAACCTTGGGTAAGACGAAGGCTGGCTTGCAAATGAGTGAAACACCGGGCGACGTGTACAGTCTGCATACACAACTTGTACTCGAGAAGCAAAGGTTACAGTCCAAGTATCAAGAAATGATGTTGCAATGCCAGTTGGACGATTTGATTGGGAATTCCGGCGTGATCTTCGATTTCGCACTGCTGAAGCAGGCATTGGCCGGCATTCATACTGGAGATCCGATTGTCTCTCAAGGAATGGTGGGCAATGGCGGTCGATTGCAGAATCATCTAGCGGCCTCGCAGAATCCGATACTGTTCCTCGCAAATTATTGCATGTCGCAATTATATACGCGCCATGTTGTCAGTAAGCAGCAACAGCAGCAGCAACAACATCACATGCAGAACGGCACCATCGAATACCATTCGAGCATGATGCCGCAGCAACAAGCGCCACCAGGTTCCGTTCACGTCCATCAGGGTCCACCACCGCCGCCACCGCCGGCTCAAACAGGCCCACCGCAGCAACTTCTTATTCCACCCGGCTCACCGTCCGTTAAAACCGTACCAGCAGCGGCATCCAACGCTATGCTACACCCGCAGCAGCAGCAGTCAACGTTCATGCCCGACACGGTCGGCACCGGTGGCGGCGGTAGTAGCTTGGTGACCGTACACTCGTCCCCTCAACCACCGTCTAGTGGAATAACAGCAGCAAGTCTGCGCGGCCCTACGAATCCGTATCCCCTGTACTATTTCAACATCCAAGTGAACGGTTCGCCGCATGGTCGCATCGTGATTGAAGTAAGACCGGACGCGGCGCCGAAGATGTCAAAGAACTTCAGCGTGCTGTCGACAGGGGAGGCCGGCATTAGCTACGAGGGCTGCACGATATTCCAGTGTTGGGAGGGCGAGTCTGTGATCACGGGCGACTTTGAACAGAACAATGGTCGCGGCGGACGCAGCATATTCGAGGACAGCTATTTCATGCCGGACGACACCAAGTTTCCAGCGGTGAGAGGCGCGGTAGGGATGCGACGTACGCAAAAGCGGCACGATAACCTCGGCATGGTTGGCTCGCAGTTTCGTATAATATTGCAAGAAATGCGCGGATTTACTGGCATCTTCGGCCACGTGGTCGAGGGGCTGGAGTTGGTAGAGAAGATATCTACATTCGGCGATCAGACCGGCAAGCCTACTAAGAATATTCTAATTACGAAGTGTGGCAAATTGTAACGATTACGCGATTGTTATTGCGCGATTGTTGACAGTACCGTTTTGGAGAGAGAAGGCTAAGTAATACCCTGTTACATAAACAAGCCGTAACGTTTTCTCGCTATTAGATAGCTGAAGAACAGAGTCGCGACGGTACCCCCAAATTGTGCGAGCGCGCGCGCATACGTTCGGCTATAAGAGATACTTATACGTAAGAAAAATATAAAAAAAGAACGGGGTAGAATCGCGTATATATAATTGTTTGATGCGCGATAAGAGACAACTCTCAGACAGCATAAGATTTCTAGGGGATGTTCTGAAAACATTCTGAGGACATAGGACGTTCTCAGAATATATTTAGGATGTTCTATAGAAATCTGTGTTATTTGGGTTATTATCATATTATTGAGTATCGCAGTAGATGTCTCCGCTCCGGAGGTATCGTTGCGATGATTATTAGTTCCACGAATCCTCGAACGCTCCATACGAGTCACGCAACTTAATTAACTGTTAACAATAGTGTCTAAAAAGAGATGTCGAGTCTATATTTTTAAAACGTGGGCGCGTGTGAGAAGATAAAAAAGACGAAATAAAGATCCATATTTTGCTATTGACCGGGAATCTAACAAGATTCTGTATCTAAACAATAACGACGATGATCGACAACACACATACGTACCTCAAAGATCGATCGTGATATCGATTACGACTTCTAGCTGATACGACGATTTCTTTTTTAGCGAGAAAAAGGTTCGACATTTATTTTGGCTATCGACGTTACTCCGCTATTATATATCGTTATTTATAATTGATAAAATGTGTCGCGCGTACCGACTGTGAGTGAGAGAAAGAGAGAGAGGGGGGAGGGGGAGGAAAGAGTGAGTGAGCGAGTGAGAATCGAACTGCTATGCGATCGAACAGCATAGTTCTCCATCTGTGGGCGCAGCTGATATTTTAGATCGTAGATAGTGAATAAAGAAGAAGCAACACGTGTAGACTTGGCCAAGTGTATACGCATGTACATACATTTGTGCGAGCGTGCGCGCATGCACGCACACACAATACCCAATAATCCTATTCGTGAAACTATACTTATGATTGAACGAAAAATAACGCACGTTGAGTACAACGACTTGTACGATTCTTTCGTGAATAATATTACACGGATAAACGAGCATGCGCGTGCGCACTTTTGCTTTGTCTAAAAGTCGTGTCTCGCAATTCCGTATACGCAGGTCTCGTTTAGAATATTAGTTGAAAAGAGACGACAAAAAGAAGCGATACGTAGCTAATGTAGAAAATATAATCTACGTATAAAGCACCTATCGGCATAGGTGACTATCACGCGTGTTCCATTCCAAGGCTACAAGGAAAGGAACTAAAAAGGGAAAAGAGGAACAAAAAGAGACATTCATCTCTCGCGCGCGCGCGTTTCGCGAGAAAGAATTCTGCCGCTCGCTCGAATACGCGAGCCGTTCTCTTTTCGTTCTTTCGTATCCGAGATATATAGCGAACCGACATGAATTAATTGTATTTAAAATTAGATCTCAATACGCAAATGTATGCAAGGCCTAATTACTACTACTACTATTACTATACTATTACGCTACTACTATTACTACTATTGCACAGATCGTAAGCCTCATCGTCGTCTATGCGAGAAACGAACGAAAAGAAAAAAATGAAACTGTGCGAATATATATTACATATATGTGTGTGTATATAACCGTATACACATACACATATATGCATACAGAGTGTTCTATTTTAATGAAAATAGTTGTATATCTTAAAAAGCACTCGAAATTGTAGCGCTTCCCGAGATATGCAGCTATTGAAAAATGTTTCAGATCAAAGCAGTCCCCAAGTTCGAGAGGAATATATAACAATAATGTTATTATGGTCTTAAGATATTTTTTTAACTTGAATTTTTTTTACTGGATTCAGAAATTTGATTTTACTTGTTATTCTGTGTATAAAAACTTTGAAGTATTTTACATTTTGTTCAAATGTGTCAACGTGAAATATGAAATATTTTGTAAAATATTTATTTTTCGATAGTTTCAATATTTTTACATATGTACGATTATAATGACAAAGAATCAATACGTATATGAAAAGACAAAGAAACATCGAACAAAATTTTATTGCATTTTGTAGATATATTGAAGCACGTATTACAAATATTAGTAGCGTTAATTGATTTCTGTCTTATCATTCTACATATAAAAGCATTAAAGTGAGGACACCGGGAAGTAATTTATACACAATGATAAGTAAATCGAAAATATTTCATGTTCCATATTGGAAATATGACACGATATGAAATAACGAATATCTTGAGATATATTCATTTCTTGATCTTTAGTAATTTTATATACAGAATGACGAGTGAAATTGATTTCTGAAAAAAAAAGAACATGATGCCATTTAAAATACTAAGGTTGATTTTGAAATGATTAAAAAAGAAAATTTCAAAACCATAATATTGTATATACTATGTATTCGTCTTAAAACTGGGTTTTGGTCTGAAAGATTTTTCGAGATATCTAGTGTTTTCCAAGATATCCCCAGTTGTATTAATTAAAATAAAACACTTTGTTAATATATGTAAAATAAGAGTGTATATATATATATATATATATATATATATATATATATATATATAAATAATATATATATACACAGGGTGGCTCACGTAAAGTGTTACAAACTAAACTCTAAACATATTTGTCTTATCAAAAATTTGTTCATGAGAAAATTTCATGAGAAAATTATATTCGAGGGGCCTTTCTAACTACATAAACAAAAATCTATTTCCGTCCCCCCTTGAAGAGGGGCGGGGGGTAACTTCAAAGTTTCAAATGGGGTCCCCTATACAATGTTACATATTTGAATTCTACGAGAAAAAACAAATAAACTTTGTCTGAAACATTTCTTTGGAAAATGCTCCTATCAAAAATTATAAACATTTAAATTTTAATGTAATTAAAATTTAATGTAAGAATGCATTGAAATTAATGATAAATTAAATAAGACTCATAGTTTTTCTGTTTTGTTTTATTTTATTAAATGTTCGAACTGTTGACCATTAACATCTAAACACTTATTAATTCTTTTTACAAAACTTTGCCAGAAATGTTGTTTAGAGTTAGGCAAAGTTTTGTAAAAAGGACTAACAAGTGTTTAGATGTTAATGGTCAACAGTTCGAATATGTAATAAAATAAAACAAAACAGAAAAACTATGAGTCTTATTTAATTTATCATTAATTTCAATGCATTCTACATTAAAATTTAAATGTTTATAACTTTTGATAGGAGCATTTTCCAAAGAAATGTTTCAGACAAAGTTTATTTGTTTTTTCCCATAGAATTCAAATATGTAACATTGTATAGGGAGCCCCATTTGAAACTTTGAAGTTACCCCCCGCCCTTATTTCAGGGGGGTGGAAATGAATTTTTGTTTACGTAGTTAGAAAGGTTTCTCGAATATATGAAACTTTCTCGTGAACAACTTTTTAATAGGACAAATATGTTTAGAGTTATCAGCTTGTAACACTTTACGTGGGCCACCCTATATATGTATGTATGTATGTATGTGTATGTATGTATGTATATATATATATATATATATATATATATATAT